TCTATATCTATATCTATATCTATATCTATATCTATATCTATATCTATATCTATATCTATATCTATATCTATATCTATATCTATATATCCATCCATCCATCCATCCATGTATCTATCTCTTATCTATCTATTGAGACAGCCTCACTACATAGCCTTAGCTGGCCTGGAACTCACTATGTAGACCAAAGTGGTCCTGAACTCAGAGATCTGCCTGCCTTTGCCTCCCAAGCACTGACATAAGGCATGTACTACCATGCCTGTCCCTCATTTTCTAACTTTGCTATGAGTTTTTGCTTCTTTGTCTGTTTTCAAGTTTCTTTTAAGTTTTTATTGTTCAACAGGTTTTTATTTTCCCCTTTACCTTGAATTTCTTTTGTAGAACAACCTGTTCTTCTCTAGATATTATGATCTTATCTCTGATGATACTAATTTTATGGTTATAACTGGTTCTTTTTGTTTTTTTGAGACAGGGTTTCTCTGTGTAACTCTGGCTGCCCTAGATTTACTTTGTAGACTAGGCTGGCCTTGAACTCACAGAGTTCTGTCTGTCTCTGTCTTCCTAAGTGCTGGGATTACAGGCATGCTCTACCATGCCTAGCTTATAACTGGTTCTTAAAACAGGTTTTTTTTTTTTTTTTTTTTTTTTTTTTTTTTTTCCTTCTAGATTTCCTTATTTTCGTCTTCTTTGTACATACATACTTCCAGAGGCACTGGCATAGCTGAATCTGGCTTGCTTAGGATGCTCTAGTGCAGCAGTCTTATATGTGGGTCCTGTTGGGGAGGCATCATCATTCTGTGGGTTCTAACAAAAATCCAAATGCTGGCCAGGTATGGTGGAACATGTCTTTAACAGCAGCTCTTAGAAAATAGATGCAGGTGCATTTTTTGAGGGTAGGGCCACCCTGGTTTACATACTGAGTTCCAGGCCAGTCAGGGTTACACAGTAGCAACACTCTCACAAATACATACATGAATATAGGCTCTGGGCTCTAGCCTTATCCCAAGCCTCCCTTATTAGAACTTCTGAAGGTGTAACTCTGGGTTTTATTTATCGAGTTCTCCACTTGGCTGCAATGCACAGCAAAGGCTGAGGACCACTACTGGGACATGGTCTGGGTTGGTTCTAAATTGAGGTTATGGCTTTCTTGAGTGTAGTGAGCCAGTTAGCTTTATCTGTTTCTTTTTTAGTTTCCAAAAAAAATAGACTTTTGCTATTTTTCTTCTCTTTAGTTTTTCCCATCTGTGTAGGTTTATCCCCTCCCGCAGCAGGCTGAATCCCTTTAATACAGTTTAAGAGATACTTTGAGACAGGGCAAAATTAAATACACCAACTCTTTACCTAAAAGTCAGTCTATATAAATTTATGTGTTTTTAGTTCCAATAAAAAATGCAAAACACTGCTTTTTCTGTTACCAACTCCAAAGAATATCTTTGAATATCTAAGAAGATCTCTTAACTTATTTCCACTTTGAAATACAGTAGTCCTCCTCATCCTATCCTAAGGCATGTAGTCCAAGATCCTCATTAGACACTAGGAATCTTGGATAATACCAAATACTGTGTGTGTGTGTGTGTGTGTGTGTGTATGTGTTTATTACTTGTTGGAACCTAAGATAAAGTTTAGATTATTAGTTAGGCACAGTAAGAAACACAGTAGCTAATAATAAAATTGTGCAGCTGTAACAATACACCACAATAAAATTACATGTGGATACATTAGACAAAGGCATGATTCATATCCTGGGCAGGATGGAGCAGGATTCTGAGATTCCATTATAATACCTACAGCAGTGAACAATTTAAACACCAGTTGTTTAGTCCTTGAATTTTCCATTTAATAACGTTGGCTATAGCTGTTGTAATCAATTAAAACTGTAGAAAGTGACATTAGTGGTAAGAGAGGGGACTGATGTAGTTTATTTCCTTGGATTTTGAGACATCTGTTTGCCTTCCTAAAGGTGAAGTTCCTCAAGGTGTGTGTTATCAGGTAATTTTGTCTATTTTGTGGGCATCCTATACTGTGCTGGTCTATCTTCTAGAGCACAGGCTTACATTTATTAGCCAACCAGACAGTTCCACTTGACAAGTCTGCATATGTAAATAAACACACTTAAAACAGCCTTTGAGTCCATACCCCAATCTTGCTCTGCATTCTCTTTCCACTTCATAAATGACTCCCTGTGTATCTATCTGGTATTCTCCCTATGTATCTATCTGCATTCTCTTTCCACTTCATAAATGACTTAATAAATATCTCCCTATGTATCTATCTGGCTCTCTCCTCAACCTGTCCAAATCTGACAGTTTTGTTCCCACTCCCTGGAGACTGTTTTCCCACCAGTACACTTCTCTGCATATACTCTGGTTTGTTTCTAGCCAAGAGCTCTCTAAGTCTGCTTCCATTCTTGTCCTCTCTTCACAGAATGTTCACCACTATCTTCTAAAAAGTCACTCTCCTACTTAAAGCCCTTCACTGGCTTCCACTGTATGTAGAACAAAAACTGCACTCATTCAGGGTCGTCTATCTGGACTTGTTTATCTGGTCTTTCTGCCTCCTTCCTTTATGTCTACTGGTCACACTGATCTTCTTTCAGCTTCTTAAAAAAAAAAAAAAACCAAAAACAAACAACTCAAGGTTTTGGGACTTTTGCACAGGCTGTTTTCTTTGCTTGGATGATTCCTAATATCTTTTTGTTGGTGGATTTAAATGCTCCTATTCCATGCAAAAATTATATCCCAGTGATTAATATGTGTATTCCTTTTCTTCACAGAGCTTAAGAATATTTGAATTTAAAATTTAATCACTTAGTTATTTATTTAATAACTATATTAGGTCAAGAACTTCAGATGTTCTCCATTAGCTATCTAGAACATTCAGGACAGTGCACACAAATTAACATGTAGCTACTCAGAAAGGAGACCTGCTGATTAGAAGAGAGGAAAGGACAGGCCCTCTTCAATGCCAGGAGCAAGTCAAAGGCAAATCAAGATTCAAAATCAAGTCTCCTTTCTGAAATATTTAAATGATTTTATTTTTATTGGCTCATATTTCTTACGTAAGATGATTCATTTCTAAGTTCTCTGGACACATTTTAATAAGCACTCTACCAGAGCTGATCTAATTCTAGGTAACATTCTGAGCAATACAGTTCTTATCATTTCTGTATTATTTAACAAAAGATTCTATATTTGGATATTAAGTCAGTGTTAGAAAGGAAATGCTTATTGCAGCTTTTGCAAAGCTCTTACCAAGTAAGATACTCTGGAAATGAGAAGTCAGAATAATTAAATATTATTTTTTTACTTAAGTGAAATTACATCTAAATTAATTTTGAGAGAAAATTATGATTACTGCGACTAACTTCAAATACTTAATATCAGCTTCAAAAAGTCTGAATGGTGAGTATTTTAGTTCTGTTGGGTTTAAGAAGTCCATGGATCTTAGTCTGCTGAAGTCATAAGATCTTGCTCTGACTGCAATTTGCCATATTTGTATTTTATAGTTTACACATGTATAATTATCTAACAGAAGAATGCCCTAAATGGAACATCTATACCACCTCTTCTGAGGCTCAAGGAACATGTGGAAGGAGAGGGGGGCTGAAAAGAGTTCAGAGCTGGAGGATGAAGAGACGTGCCACCAAAAGATGTCTTGGATATGACATAGCTGTTGGGCCCATGGACTCAGTGCCTCCATGGTCACCTGAAAAAGACTTGCAAAGGACTGGGCCTGTCAACATTTCATGCAGGAAAAGAGAGGAATGCATAGAGCTTTGCCTCTCCCTGAGGGACGAGGGGCAGTCAGTGGTTTCTGGGGAAGAAAGTGCTACTTTCTTCAGCGGTGCAGTCACTGCAGTCACTTCATAGCTAATTTTCCCTAATGTTCACACAAACCACCCCAATTAAAGTAAGTGAGTGGGTCTCATACCCCCAAAAGACATCAAAGTGGGAGCCTTGTTGGGAAGAAGGGTTCCGGTGAGCAAGGGAGGAGGGATGAGAGAGAGAAGGGGTGTGTAAAATGACTAAAATTCATTATAAGCATGTTTAAATATCTAAGAATTAAAATTGTAATTAAAAGTTCAACAAAAGCTCATCTACTATGTCTAATTTGTATCATTTACTCTTTTAGGTATTAGGGTGTCAGCTTATATTCCAGCAAAAAAAAAAAAAAAAAAAAAAAAAAAAACATTAAACAAATAAAAGACATGTAGTTAGAATTCAAGTGAGAAAATAAGGTGGCAGAGGTTTATCCCAGAAAGCCAAACACAAGTCTCTCAGCAGTGTCTTTTGAAATGAAATACGAATAATGCACTAGCCAAGGGACGATCTGGGAAAAGGCAGGATTATAAAAGCTCAGGCCAGAGGCTGGAGAAACAGCTCAGTGGTTAGGAGCACTTGCTACCCTTGTTCAGGTTCCCACATTAGGAAGTTCACAACCACCTGTAACTTCAGCTCTAGGGGATTTGATGCCTCTGGCCTCTACGCACCTGCCCTCTACGCACCTGCCCTCACGTGCAAGTACTCACCCCTACCATCACTCACACCCTCCTCACACATACAGTAATTAAAATTAACATAAACATTTTTGAAAAAGTTGGAAGATGGGTGATAGCCTAATAGTGGGCCTTGAGACAACAGAAGACTTCAGAACACAGCACATACAATTTGTGTTTGCTGTACAATATACACATATTTATATGTGGGTATGTACATACCTATGTTCCCATGTTTCTACTACTGTCTATTTCTTATTACAAAAGTCAACAAAAGCTTGAAAACCTTTGAGGGATCAACTCATATGAAAGCCCTAAGGGCAGAAGAGAGAGAGCCCTGAGAAAAGGTGATCCTACTGAGGAAGAATGATATGACACTAAGCAGAGAATGTACATGACTCTTCCACTCACAGCTTCCATCCAAGCATTTCAAATCTGGCTTGCCAGGTCTCTCCTTGTTATGGTTCACAAGAGACGACATGAGAGAACCATGTCCTCTGTTAATGTTACTTTATACTATACACATACAGTTTGTCCTCTGTATGTGAATACTGCATCCATGGATCCCATCAATCAGATGGAAAACATCTGAAAAAGTAACACTGCCTCACCATTCAGACTTGCTCTGCTCATCCATCTCTCAACAATACAGAATAACAACTACCTGTAAAGCATCTATTTTGTATTAGGTAGTAATTCCCAAATGATTTAAGGTACAGAAAGGACGTATATGTAGGTTATATGCAAATAACTGCTTCGTTTTACGTAAGGGACCTTTACATAAGGCATCTTTGGATGAGGCAGCCTGAGATCCAGGTTTCTAGAGGAGACTCCTGGAAATCCACCTTGGATATGAAGGAACAACTACAAAGTAATGTGACAGTAAAAATAAGAACCTTAGAGTGAGAAATTATTGTCTGAGATAATTAAAAATGAGAAAGACACCGTAGCTCCTGCAGCTGTGGAGGAGAGCTCACTTAACTCATTTTAATAATGAACTTTCAGTTAGTTGGCAGCAGTGAGTTTTGTAAAGCCCTTGCCTCTATATGCTCAGAAGGAAATGGCATAAGAGACCAAAGAACCAGACGGTAGAGGGAGAGAAAAGCCTAGTACTGCAGGTGGCTCTCCCATTCCCCAATAAGGTGGCCTCATAATTTAACCCTTTCAGAAACCCATGTGGGTGAAAATGGAATGGAGTTCAAGTAGCAATCCCTTGATACTATAAAATTCTGATTCTAAACAATGTCAGAATGATTTGGGGCCGAGAGATTAAACCTGGCGTCCTATCAGAATCTGTAAAAAGGGAAGTTACACGGTACGCAGTCAAGATAACGCCCTAAATCCTACAGTAAATGGCTGTTTGAGGAGTTGCGGGATGCCCAGTGAGCTCTCGGTGGCCGCTCACGGGGCACCGCACTCTGCAATCCGCGCGTCCTCTCTCACATCCCGCGAAGGTCCCCCAACGCCCAGCGAACTTCCCCGAAGCCAAAGTTTCAGCCTCAGCTTAGGCGCGGCCAACAGCTGGACCAGGTCGAGGGGAAGCGGGCGGGCGGGCGCCCCGACTCACCTACGAGCTCTCCGATCATGAAGAGCAAGTACAGGACGGCAGCCACGGTCAGCCTGGTCTTCACCTTCCTCTGCCTCAGCAGCTCGCGCCGCCTGCTGCAGTTGTCACAGGGGTCCATCTTCAAACTCAGCTGACTGTTGGTTAAAGGTAAGTCCTGGTCCAACAGGGAGTCGTCGTCGGCCTGGAGCGCCGGGTGCGCCCCGTTCGCAGGCCTCTCCGGGGCTTCCGAGTCATCGTCGGCCACCACGACCCGGAGTTTGTTGAAGCGCGAGAACCCCTCGTCGCTCACCTCGTCCGAGAAGTCGAAGGCGCTGGTGTCATTCAGGAACAGCGGCGCGTCGTCCTTCCTCAGCAGGGATTTGAGGCGCTTCCAGGCGCCGGGGCCGGCCATGGCAGCGGAGGGCGGCCGGCGGCTCTGCCTTCAGCGGCGCTCGGGCTCCCCGGGGCTGCGCCGCGCCTCCCGGCTCATCCTCAGGAGAACGAGCCCCGCTCCGCTCCTCGCCGCGCCCCGATCGCGCGCCACCTCCGGACCCGGCGGCGCTCCGGCTCCCCGCGGGCCGCCGCCGCCGAGCATCCCCGCCCGGGCGGCTCGCGCTGCTGCGTCCCGGGCCAGGGACCTGAGGCCGAGCTCCAGCCGCTGCGCCCGCCCCGGGCCACGCGGCGCCGCGCCGCGCCGCGTCCCTGGGAGGCCGGCCGCGG